TGGTTTAGGGGCCGTCCATAAATGACGTCACGCACCTATTTGGGGGGGGTCAGACATTTGTGACGATGTGTGACGAGGGGGAGGGGGGGTGAGAAATGTGACGTCACATCAAAATGCGCAACTTTAAATAAATATAGACAACACGTTCTACTTTATTAAATAGACTTTTTAATGAATGTTTTCTTCTACAACATCAGAGTGCAGCGCCACATTAAATACGCACTACAATGACAATAGTTTAAAGCGATTTGAAGCATGTTTTATTTGGGGGGGAGGGGGCAGAGCTTTGTGACGTCATATTTGAGGGGGGGTCTGACTGTTTGTGACGCCGTGTGACGAGGGGGGGGGGGTCAAAAATCGTCCAAAATCGCGTGACGTCATTTATGGACGGCCCCTTAGTGGTAAGTTCAGCGTCGATGGCTGGTGTCGTTGGGGTATGGAATAAGCCACCCACCCCCACCAACACCCCCCAATTTACTCCACCCCACCAACCCCCCCGTGGCTGTATTCACACAACTTCCACGTGCTATAGCTAATCAATATTTATACAGTGCACTTCACATCATAAGCACGGGGCATCTCGGCGTTTTACATAACATCGTAACCGTGTTCCTGAATGTCAAGCACTTTTATATAATCTTGTTTTGTATGGCTGATGTCAGTGTCGGATGAAGCTAGTGCGGGGCCTGTTGCATATGTTAAAAGGGGCCCTAAATATAAAAACACATAAATATTAAAACACAAATCTTGAACTTGCATAGTAAAGTAATTGTATTTTTTCATTTGCTAAACAGCCAGATAATACGACCATTCGCTAACCTTAAACACCCAGTCGTTCATAAAAGTTGAAGGCGGTATAGTACTATAGTAATAAAGCAAGTGCAGAATCACTGATAGCTTAGAGGCATTTAGCGCGGGGCCCTTGAAAGTGCGGGGCCCGCACCATATGTAGCTACTCTTGCTACGTGGATAATCCGCACTGTCTCTGATGTAGAGATGCAAAGCGACAGCTACGATTTGACATTCAGGTGGTTTAGCCAGACCACCGCATCAGCGGAGTGGTACTCATATAATAATAGATGTACAAGTATAACAAAATACAAGAATAAATTTTCTTATTTTGGAAATATCGTGAAAGAAATGCACCCCTGGGCAATCTAATTAGAAAATAAATTGTATTACCATAATTGAACAGGCATGTTTTTTATCGTATTAAACTCTGTACACAGAAGAAGGGTCATTGTCTGAAACGTCACCCGTTTTATGTATTTTCCTTCAGGGCAATGTTATCGACGAATGTGTTGAGTTTAGTTTGTAATTAAGACCAGTTGACTAAAAGCAAAGGTCAAAGCAGATAACAAGGTCAAATTAGATATCTAACAACGCCTATTTACGTTAGAGTACACGTACGTTGAACTTCTTTCGCACCGTACGTAGCCACCATGCTAATCGGAGGTGCGGGGGAAGGACCATGTATTCGTAGTTTTGCACGACATTATACGAGTACAATCCATACATTTTACGTACATATTCGCACAAGCGATGTGTCCTATTAGGAGGGTTCTTATATGGGGGAATCTTAACACGGGATATGTTTTTCTGGGTGTAAACTTGAAATGGGATATCTTTCACACCAATATTTATACATCGTTCACTCACCTTCCAATTGCTGCTGGAGCAGTACACTCCACTTACAATAATACAATGCGATATTGCGTATCATGCATAGTCAGCCGTGACCTGTCCACTTCTGAAGGCCACGTTGCCACCTGTATGTTTAACATACAGTAATGTACATGTGTAGAGGAGTATTGTGAGTAACTAATGAGGGGGCGAGCGGAAGGAGGTGCGAGTGGGTTGAGAGCAGTGGCGGCTCCTGCAAAATCTCTCAGGGGGGGGCAAATGTCTGGATGATTGATAAGGATAAGGTCCACCCATGCAATGGATAAATTAACAGCTTAAGCATGTAAAGGCAACTTCACTTCTTTAATATTAATGAAAAATAAAGTGACTCTTACAATACATCTTGTTTGTTTCTATACTCACTATTAAAACAAACCACTCAAGTTTATTTTATTAAAGATTCCACTAGGTGGCAACAAATTATATTGTTGGATGAAACGTGCTTACGTATGATGACGTAAGCACGTATGATGACGTAAGCACGTTAGGGCGAGCCCTCCCGGAAGCCATAGAGAATGCTTTGCAGCGCCTCCGTTCGAAAAAAAACATCTTTGAATGTAAGTCTATGGGGCCACTCGGGGCGATTCTCAGCTGGAGGGAAATCGCCCAAAAAGAGGCGGTACTCCACAGAACGTAGCATGACGCTGATTGGACTATATCCAGAGGTACAGTGACGGCTAGCGTGACTCTGTGGTTGAATGACATTGGTGGTGCGTCGCCCAATCGCCCTAATGAAGAAACCGCCCCTGGTTGAGAGTCATACGGGGCCAAGGAAGACGTAACGTCACGGGTTACGTAAGGGGCTTTCGGAAAGCATACTCTTAGTTTTTTCGGTAAATTCACGTAGGTAAAAAAATGAAATTAAAATTAATAAAAATAAAACAAAATCACGACGTTTCGTTTTTTTATTAATTTTTATTTCATTTTTTTACCTACGTGACTTTACCGAAAGAACTAAGAGTTTTTAATCCTTGCAGTCACGAAAGCTTCAAATCTAGAATTTCGGAAAGCACTTTCGGGAAAGTGGGCAGGGCCGAGCTGGGGGGAGGAGCCGCCCAAAGTGTTCTTAAGGGGGACCCCGTGACGGAGGCGGGGTCGTCGTTGGGGGCCAAGGTAAGGACCGGCTAGACTGGGGTCTCTCTCTTCGTCGCAGAGTGGTGTTGGCTGATCCCCTGCTCCGGGCAGACGAGTGAGAGAGCCAAAGGGATAGCTGGGGTAGGGTCCAAATTGTTGTTCAGTGTCCATGTGAAGGACGGAGATAGAGTGCACCTACACGGGTGTGAGTGTAGGATGTCGAGTGAGAAAGTGTTTTAATAAACGGCAACAGCCCTTATAGTTCTAGATTTTAAGTTTTCGTGACTGCAAGGATCCATAACCTTCAAGAGATGCCGCGATAACAAGGTAATACCCATCACTTTCATACCCACATCTGCTGCTGTGTCTTCACCGAACTCTAAACGGATTTTGTTTAAAGCTAGCCTATCACGAATCTCAGAGAGAATACGATTACTCCGATTTGAACTCGATAGTTTAGACAAGACTCTCTTACAATCATATTTAATGTTAATACAAAAAATGTCCCCTTCCGATTGGAACCGCGTTGACAACATGACAGCTGCCTCTGCTGAATCACTGTCAGCCAAATGTAAAGCTAACCTGATTGCTAAATTCAACCTCCTATCAAAGAAGAAGCCAGAACCACACATCACAAAGTTGGATGTTAACAAGATCGTTATTAATCAGAGTAACATCCCGATTTTGGACAATCTGGAAACGGTACTGGCTAAAGGGCTGAATTTTGTAACTAATCCCATATCTGCATTTTTCCATAAATATGCTAAATTCCTCTGTTGATATGCAAATTCCTTTGTCAAGGCGCCCTTCCTCCTCTAACCCAGCTTAAATATACGCTGCCAAGCTTGGTGGTTTTCATTCAGACGCTGTCTTTCCGACAGACCTGTTCTTCACTTAAGGACGGCTGCTTGCGTTGTGGCCGAAACGTCGTGAGAATTATTTTATTGGTTAATTTGTATTATTTTATTATTTCCATTCTACGTGACTTTACCGAAAGAACCAAGAAGATGAATCCCTGCAGTCACGAAAGCGTTAAATCGAAGATCATCACTAGTTCGACTTCCCTAATCGAACCAATCAAACGTCCCTCCCTAAAACCCTCGGCTGCAAGACCTCCCAGATTCTATGGTCTTCCCAAGATCCATAAAGGTACCCCACTACGGCCCATCGTGTCCACGATCAACTTACCTACCTACAAGCTAGCCTGTTTTTTATCGGATATTCTGCTTCCCTTCACTGGCAAGACCACCTCATCAGTACTCAACTCACTTGGTTTCTATGGTCAAGGACATTTTACTGTCTCCTGACGATGTCCTCGTCAGCTTTGATGTGGTCTCTCTGTTCACCAAGGTTCCAGTGTCTGATAACATAGCTCCAGTGGCTTCCTAATATCGGGCGGAAGAGCATTCCAGACGGCCGCAGAAGCGCATCTGAAAGTGCGCGATGCGGTGGCCGTCTTTGTTCGATGGCGAGCCAAAAGCCACTGCTGTGAGGATGACCGGAGTTCTCACGATGCATTGATCCATGTAGTTCCTGCTACGTACATACATTTTGGGGGTTCACACCTGTGGCTGCCACCCCCGTTTTGTCTCGATCGACCACTGGCCATCAGCCCTCGTAACGACGTTGGGATGCCCAAACCCACTTTACTCCGCCATGAGTCAAGACGATGTCCTTCTACTTTACAAATTCAATGTATTAACGTGCGTTTCTATAATTTGAGTACGAGTTTGTTTACCCCAGCATTGCAAGATATTCAGTGAGCGTATAATTCTAAATTTAATCGAGCATTTATTTAACATTTTCATAGAAAATTGACTTTAACTGAAAATGTGATATACTGTAGTTTGCTTATCCTAAATTGTATCTTAAATGGTTATATAACAAACAAAAAAACACATGCACATATACAATGCCCCATGGTATGGACCACAAGGGATTTACCGTTGATTAATTGTATTTGTAAAGTAAAATTATCAAATTGAACGTAGATATTAATCAAGAGGAAAAGTTGCAAATGCAGTTACTGTTACCGATTTCTGAAAAAAATCCAATTAAGTTGTCCACCTTGTGGATCCAGTTTTGAAAACGTTTAAGAATCGCGAGGTTAATGTAGAAATTATATCTGAAACTGATAAGTAATTAAGTTCACCGCCTAAAACACCACAGCATTCTTAAATGCAAAGTCCACTCAAGGCACTGGTTCCATTCTGCAGCCCAATTCACTCATTACGCAGAAGGGTCATTTGTGAGGTTTTAGTTTTATTAAAGGCACCTACATTGAAAGATCCTTATAAATGCTACATATACAAATACAACTTCCTAAAGGATAACTACAACGGTTGGCAGTTCACTTTTATGTTTTGTTGAATATAAAATGTGGTAAACTATACAGAAAAATATAAGTGGTCTACATAATTAAAACATACCAACGATTGCATAAAATGGAATATATTGTTCAAACACGATGTACAAATTCAGCAAAGAAAAAAATACTGCATCATGAGTAAACTGAGGATATTATTGATAACAATTAATGCTTTCTGGGGTGTAAATGGAGTACGGTGGTTTCATGTCAAATATTACAAAGTGTTCAGTTAGACTGATTGTTTTTCTTTTAGAGAAAAAGGCACAGGTTATATCTACAGACCACGTCCCTATCAATTAGTGTCGTCTTATATTTTCAGTCAACATTCACATTACCAGATGCTATTTTCTATTTTCGTCAAAATGTAAGAGTAATGCTTGTTTAAATAAAAAAAGCCATGTTGTAATGTATAACATCACATCAATGACACTTAAGTGTTTTAATAGCAATACAAATAATGCAATTTAAACATGTGCTATAAATGTAATTTAGCTACCAAGTAAAACAGCTGATTGGAAGGTAACACATGTTGCTTGTATGCTTCGTATTGCTTTAATATCGTGGTGCTGAAAAATACTAACTCGAATCAGTGACAACAAAATGTGGAGACAATGCCATCTGATCTGTCAATGACAATCATAAGGCAGGAAGATGAGAAAGTAACATTTGCATAGGATTTTTCCAGGATGATCATGTTTTTTTAACGTGTTCATAAATGCTCTAGTGATGAGAAGTCCATACGGATGTCAGAGGATCTGGCCAGACTGAACTCTTGAGATATTTTGTGGCTTGGCTTATATGTGTACTGCACCAAACAAGTCCAACCATTACATTAGTAAACACCAACACCTCAACTTCCATTCAACACTACTGGCTTTTCTACTCAAGTGTCCCCACACCTCACACAAAACCATTGTTTTAACACAAAAACAAACTCAAAACAGTACATCACACTACCGTACTAGAAAACTACAGTTTATGATTGTGGTGCAAAATATTTGTGAACAATAGTTACAGATATTAAAACATCCGCAGCTGGGAAACAAAAAATATAGAAAATTGCATGACATCTTGAAATTCGAGAGAAATATTTTGGAGTTAAGTCATACACCAAAGTATCAGTAACTGATGAAACAAAAGGCTTTACCCTCTCTAGTATGCATACAGGTGTTGAGGTATTCAAACACCAAATAGACACATTACAATGCATAAAGTCTGCATTAACCACACATACATGTGGTACAAAAATGCAAACATATTCCTTGATAACAAGGAATAATGGCCTTCACAAAAAAGGTACCAAAGATGTAACTACTTTATAAATTCCATCAAATGTAGTATCAAAAGATTTAACTCCAAAACATTTCTCGAGATTTACTTTCCACTGGCATGACTTTTATCAAGAAAAAAAACTCCACGTCCATCTAACATTTGTATGTTCATCAGTTGGGTCTCTCGTCAGAGAACTTAACATACAGACGCTAACACAAAGTAAACATGGAAATCTTAAACTCACAACATTGTGGGGCATGAATGAGCATAAAATGACAGCAGTGGTGCACAAAGATTCAACACCAAACATTAGCAGCACCTCATAATTGTGGGCAGCGACGACGGATGCATTTTATACTCCTGTAGACTCCTGTACCGCCGCCACCCACGGCCACCCTAACAGGTCCCCCCCCCCACCCCACCAGCAATGACGAGTCACTCAACAAACTCTTATTTTTTGTGGTTTCCTTCCTCATCCTCCAAAGCCTCAGTGAGATTCCCACCCCGGCACAACTGAAGTTCCTCCGAGTTGATCGTGTCGGATTCGATGGCGGCGTACGGCGTACCGAGGAACTGTCGGAGGTGAATCTGGCCAGAACGTCACAAGCCGGGACAATGGGCACAGGGTTTAACAATCGTTGAGGAACACAATTTAAGACAGCCAGCTGTCAAACCATTCCCCAGAATGATCCTGCTTCTACATTGACAGTGCAATTCACAAGTTGACAATTTGAGCCAAAACGCATAACCTTGTTGATTTGTGCCATATTTGGTAATGGAGACATTGGCACATCGTTCCTAAAAATCGTCTGCATGAGGAAAATTCGCCAAAATGCGATTCTGGATTTTGGTGTCAACGTAACCATCACAGCTTATTAAACAAATGTAATTAAGTGACCAATGAGAGGATGGATAATTACATCATTTTGTGACTGTTAAAAGCAATCAAATAATAAACTCATGTCTCAACAGGGATCGAAGTTCGTTAAATGTACTTGTTGGCACCTGGATGTGGAGGTTTACTTCCATGCTGCGGGAAAGGTAAGGAAAGTTGCCGCCGGTCTTGAGGTGAGCCCTCCGGGCCAAGGGGAACAACTTGTACATCTCTTCCTTCACGTCCACGGAGAGCGCACTTTCATCAAACACCTACACCGCACACGCATTCACCCACCAACCCACACACACGCGACAAGGTTATTACAGACATTTCCTTCTTTATAGTTGTAGACTTGCAGGGGTAAGCACCGTTAGCAAAAACCTACCAAGGCTGGCACAGTACACAAAGTGGTGATGTGGCCCAGCACTATGCACGCCTGATTAGTTTTCCTAAGTGCTTATGTTTGCATACCATCGCGGGTATTTATTTTAAGGATGAGTTGACATCGAGAATGATGATGTGTGTATGTATGCTGAACCTCTTTCGCACCGTACGTAACCAACCGTGCTTATCAAGAGGTGCGGGGAAAGGACCACAAAATAAACACGAAGCAGTTCTAAAGAAATGAGTTATCAATTTAGAAGGTTCACTTACTACTGTCCACTGACTTTTAGGGCCAAGGAATCAAACGCGGGTCACCAGGATTGTAAAATGTGCAACAAAAAAATGGAAGTAAATTTTTTTGGCCAATTCTCACTTCCTAATTCTTGAATTTGTGCAACAAAAAATGGAAGTACATTTTTTCGGGCAATTCTCACTTCCTAATTCTTGAAAATAATCGATTCTTTCGTAAAAATCGCGATCCAGAATCGTGAAAATGTAGCAAATCGCTGGGAGGGGGAGAATCGTTGCACAAAACATTGTTGCTTGCGGAGAGCCCCTCCCCACCCCTTCCTTACGTCCATGACAGTGATGACGATGCCATTCAGCTTGTGCGGCTCCACGTATGAATCCTGACAGTTGAGTGTGAGGCGCGATGCCAGGTCACCCTGAGTCAAGCTTTCAACCTAGTGGGATCACGCAGTTAAATCAGAAAGGATAACAATGAGGACCAATACGAGATATGAAGCACCATGAAGATATTTCCTGCTACAGAAATGTACAAAATCACCCACCCCAGCCAACATGGTTATATTGCATCAGGCACATCGATCGTAAGCACATTGCATTAATTGATCATTACATCATAATTTGAGTTTTTTTTCAATTGCATTGTACCTTCCCTCTTTCCAAGTTGTGTGTTTTTATCATTGACAATCGGTAAACATATAATTGACTTTTGTCATCACCATAAAATTATTAACATCGCTTTAATACTGTACAGAATAAAACAGCGACTACAAATATTTACTTAAAATAGCATTTCGCTTTAAAAGACATGTTTCAATAAAATAAAACACGTTTGGTATTGGTGCCATTCTTACAGTACAAAGGCTGTCACCAAGTTGCTATGGTTATGCTTTGCAAGCTTTACTGAACATTTCTACTGCTGAACTGGTTGAGAGATAAATCACAAACAGCGAGTCTTAAGTCGATGGGCCAGACACAACTAACATAAGCGAGTGGGTGGCTGATGTAGCGGGTTATAGGGTGAGTGAATGATTGAGTGGTAAGTGGGTAGGTGAGTAGATGAGCTGCACACGGAAAAACAGCAGGGGCTGTATCTTAATATCCTGGTGCTTGGGACAATCAGGTCACATTGTGTCCTGTCGACCAGCCAATGGCGACTGGCAGATATGCCGGTACAGATTGATGAGTTGGGTGACCTGTAGAATATTTGAAAAGATAAGATGCTTCGAGAAGCTGATGTGTCAACTCCTTACTCTCACCGAATCCACCATGAAGTCGATGGCATTGGCCATGGCAGCATCCATGAGTCCGTACGCAAAATTCCCCATGACAAACTTCTTCAGCACAAAGGATGGGGCCATCCAAAAGCTGCCAAACACAACTCGATGTCAGCATTCCAATTGTTTAACTGGTAGTCATGTTATGAATCAATTATATTCCAAACTCGCGTAGATAGAAGTGCACCACTCTGTTAGAGAGAATGACTGCAGAAGATGAAGTCAAAGAACTACTTAAAAAATTCACTTCAATAGTCATCTGTATGCACACCAAGGGGACAACTTTAACATGCCTTACAACAAGTGTCCGTGACATGTCAAACTGAATTTTCTTAATTCTCAAGAGCTGAAATAAATTTTAGTAAAAACACAGATAATACTTTTTGTTCACAGTCACTGATTATCGGGCTGAGACCATCCAACTTGCTACACTTGAGAAACTGTTTTCATCATGGTTTACTGCCTGTATTTGAATCCAGGATCTCAGTAGCGCGCTGCTCAGTGTTCCGAGATGCCAAAGCTTCGATTTAGCAAAACAAACACATGTCATAATGAACTGCATCAGGGATTTTGGAAATCAAACCCACCCTATCCCATGAAATCCACCAGTTGGAATTAGGTAACAAACAACACACCTGACCTCTGGAGATTGATGTTGAAATCTGTCTTATAGGGAGGCATATAGAACTAAAAGATTTGGAAAACTATGGTCACATTGATTTAACAAAAACAATACATTGCTAAAATTGTGCAATGAGATTCAACTGCTAGACTTGTAGATTCCTCACAGGAAAACCGAAAATAACTTGCATATATTTTGTTGATACGTGGCTCATGCCTATCTGGAACAAGTGCCATATTTCACAAGTACAACTCGCATTGTTAATTACAATAAAAGTAACGAGTTCCTAAGGAGTACCTTTTCGCACCCCACATCTGGTTGAAGACAGCTGTGTCGCAGAAGGAGTTGCACAGGATGAGGGAATGAACGCGGGGTGAGCGGAATGTGTACTCTGTGAACTTTTGTGCCAGAAACCCACCCAGAGATGCCCCAAATAAGTGTACCTGCAAACAAAAGGCACATCACTCAATTGCAACGGTACAACATTTGAAAAGAAAATCCTCCATTCCAAAGTTAAAAAGTGTTAAAGTGTTTACAGAGCTTTGGTCTTTAGTCTAAACTTGGTGTACGTTTTGTATATAAAAAAACTTGGTGTTTGTTAAACACTGAGGCAAGCCTGACTTCGTCGAGTTGAAGATGGTCCAAGAGTCTGTGGAATCCTGTACAGAACTCGCTCAGGCTCCAATAGACGGGGTACTGCACCTGTCAGGGGCACGAGAATATGAATGATAGAAAAGGAAAATAAGCCATTATTATTATGCGCAATTGTGTAATATGAATTCGCAAGAGTGTTACTTCTATACTCTTTGGTTTCGGTAAAGTCACGCAGATGAAAAATTATAAAAAAAATATTAAAATGAAAATAACTAAATTAAATCACGACGTTTCGGAGGCAACACAAGCTTCCTGATGACGGAAGCTTGTGTTGCCTCCGAAACGTCGTGATTTCATTAAGTTAATTTCATTTTTTTTCATCTACGTGACTTTACCGAAAGAACCAAAGAATATGGATGCTTGCAGTCACGAAAACTTCAAATCTAGAAGTGTTACTTCTTTCAAAAGAAGAGAGGAAAACCAACCACATCAGAGGAAAGGTGAAGAATATGGAAGCACCAGGGTGATAACCAAGTGGCAGGCCAAGAAAGAGGTGGTTCCAAGTGGTAATTCAGGATGCAAAGCCTTGTCCGGGTGGATGTCGAGATGATTATCCAGGACAGGAATGCGTGGATGGGCAAAATGCCAGGAAGTATAATATTGCATTCAACACATAACCAAAAACACTGTTCATGAGATTTAGAAACGTTTGATTGTTCAAAAAGGGGCGAGCGAGCTTACAGAGATGACGCGGTAGCCGCGAGCCGTCAGCGCCAGGATCTGCTGGAAGAAGATGTCGGCAGTGCCGCTAACGGGCGGCAGAAAGATGAGAGGACAACGCACTTGGCGCGGCCCCGCATCATACAGTGCCCACACCTTGCTGTCATCATCGTCCACAACAATCTGATGATAGAATGAGATAGTGTACTTGAGTCTCCCTTGCACAAAGGGTTTTACACACATGAGCATTGTCAGGTGGCCAGCATAATGTATAAAACATTTATTTTGAAATCTGTGTAAATATTTCGGTTTTATCTCCTTGCATTCGTGTATTTTCTCTGGGTACTACGGCTTTCTTTCTTTTACATCGAGCTAAACACGTAATTGCCAAACATCCCCCTTATATAAAAAAAATCATGATACTCAATGATATTTTCCTGGCTAAAGGAAGCTGAGCATGCAAAGTGTGGTACAAAAATATGAACAAAAAAATTGAGATGATAAAAACATGTCAAAAAATTAATACAATTTTCAAGAACAAAAACAACCTTTCAGACATACAAATAAATTGCACATAAGTTGCATAAAACCAGCGGAGCCAATTAGCCACCTATAATACATAAACAATTGTAACCTTTCCAGTTGCCAGTGTTATAAATTCACAGGGCTCCTACATGATTGACTACTACAATGATAGGAGTAAGTTACTGTTGGCAAGACTGCTCGCTAAAAGCCTGTAATCACAAGACAATGACAGTGTTATGAAACTGGCATGGCCAGGAAGCATTTATGTGATAATCATCTCTGTGTGCTCAATCATTACACTCATAGCAGAAACGACACAACAGATGCATTACTGTACATAACATATACATGTAGACAGTCCTGAGTAAGTTAAAATAGAAATCTGTGACAACTGTAGTCTAGTCTGTGCTTATAAGTGGACAAAATAAAAAATGAACAGATTTGGGTCCTACAAAATTCCAATAATTATTTTTTTACTTCTTTGTATTTGAACCAGACCTAAAAAATAATCTATGCTTGAAAGTGGACATATCTTACATTGGTAACTTTTAAAGGGGTGCTCAAATAAAATCGAAATTATATTTCAGACAATTCAATAATTCTGCCATTTTTATAATAATGCTAACTTTTCAGGGAGATTGAGTAGAACACATTGCTAGAATAGATAATGACTGGAGATCAAACCCAAAGTCGAATTGGCAGCTTGGGAACAGGCTAAAGCTTAGAGCCACCAAGGAGATGGAGCGATTAAATCAGCTCTGTGCAGGTGCTCAATGGATTTCTATGTCGCAGGGCTATTAGAAATGGTGACGGCTTGAGGAGGCCTTAATCCACCAGTGGATTATCATGGCTGTTGATTGATAATGTGGCAATAACACCATATAGTGGGCAAAGCGTGCAACTTTGACTGGTCAGAAAGGTACATTGCCCAATATTTACGCAAACATTTCAAAATAAACCAAACTGTGTGCTGTTGCTTAACGTGCGCTGCTAACTTTATTTGCGCACAGCGGTACATTTGACTGCTGTAAAAGGATTAAGCCTTCTTTCGATTCTCTCTTTAACCATACAAAGTCGAGTCCGACACGCTGCCTGTCTCCTCACCCGCTTGAGAGGCACGGTGCTGCGAAAGAAGTTGTACTCGGGAGAGGACTTCATGTCCCCCATGGTTGCCGATCGATGGTGTCACAACTTTAGCAACTGAAAGGTTCACAAACACAACACTTATAGCAGCACAATGTATATCTGCAGGGATGGACAACTTAGAAAAAAAAGCTCAGGAAAATAAGTAAAGTAGACCATCGATTATCCGACGCGAGATTATCCGGCTTCTCGCATTATCCGGGCGTCCCAGGCGGATCGGACAAAACCGGCATGTCATCCGGCATGTAATCCGGCGATTGCCGGAAAACCGCTCCAAAGGCTGTACCAGTCCGGCTATTGGCACCATGTGCGTGACAAAAAAAAGTAGCTTTGCACGATTTCAATATATATACATTTTTCATGACTAATAACTAATTAAAAACAGAAAATATAACATGCGATCCGGCGAAAAGTGCGTTGTGTAATTCGGCGTTTGCCTGAGCGCCGGTCTAAAGGCTGCATCAGTCCTGCGAACGGCAAACACATTGGGTGTTTAAACAAGAGTGTTCGTCCAAGTAGGCTGCTCCGTAAAAGCAATGTGTTCGATTGCGTTGGCGAGCAATATTTACATTGCTTTTATGGCTTTATTTTGGTGATTTCTAAAAGTGTTTAGGTTTGGCAATGTTTGTTTGTTGTAGTACGGAGTGAGACTGATGGCCTTAATCTAAGTTGTCTTGTGGTTGTTGTTGTTGTTGTTTGACTTGCATCCCGCTGGGATTTTTGCACACACGGTTGGTGTACGGTGCTTTTTTCTGGAATTTTTGCTTTTTTTTCTTGGATTTTCTGTTTGCACTTAGTCACATAGTCACTTTGTTCATGTTTTAGTTTTTTGTTTGTTGTGGTTGCACCCGATTCCAGAGCCGAATGGCTCACAAGGGCTATACCTAATAAATTAAACTTGAAAACTTGAAACATACATCACAGTTGGATTCAGTTCTGAATAACCACCTCCAATTCTACACCCCACTATCATCACCCCATGCAGAGTCTTGGAGACTGGAGTGGTAAGTGCAGTGCAGTAAATACAGCAACTTTTTACAGTCGGATATTTTTTTTGTCTATTTGCATGTTTATTTATGGCAATTTCAGTCAAATGTAAAAGCCTAAAAAAATGTTTATGCATCTAAAAAGAAAATGTTATGCAAAAAAGTGCAAAAATAAGCTATTGTGTAACAATGCATAACCAAAATACGGATATGGATTCTAGATTTAAACCTTTCGTGACTGCAAATTGAGTCTTCCGCAGTTGCCGATCATTGCTACAATGCTGTGGGTTCTCATGAGATTGTCTTTTCTGAGACCAAGGTGCTCTGCAAACCTTCTGGCTACCATCAGAGGTTTGTGCACGAATCCATTCAGATATACAAACACAGACATAACTTCAACCGTGATGATGGGTACAAACTGAGTAATCATTGTAAAGATGTCATTAACCATGTAAAAAAGAGTTAACTACACATATTTGTACCATCTTATTTGACAGGTACTATTTTACTTTACCGAGTGTTGACATCCCCAGTGTTTACCAGTAGTGCTTACCTTTATGCTTATTACCAGCTAACACCGGCCACAACCATGAGCCGATGTGCACCATTGTTATCTTTTAGCCCCGCTGTCCAGGACCATCAGGCCATACCCCTGGCGACCACATTCAGACAAGCCCCTCCCTCCCCCCCTTAACTTGTATTTAAGGGCTTGCCTCTTGGATATTTTCCTCACTTAATACAGTAAATTCAGCTGTGACGGTCCCACCTAATGACGGAGACTTGTGTTGCCTCCGAAACGTCGTGATTTATTATTTTATTTTTATTATAATTTCTATTATTTTTACTTTTATTATTTATTTTTACCTACGTGACTTTACCGAAAAAACCTAAGAGTACGGATATAGACCTGAACCGAATACATTCCTGTAGAATAGTAGTGGCATTCGCACAGAGACGGAGGGGTCAATGGCTGTCACACACCCATTGACCCCTCATCCCCCGCTCCTTCACCCTCAGGACCACTGACCCCCCCACCCCCTGCTATTCCGAAGCACCCAGGAGCCAACAAATCCCCAGCCTTCCCTTGAACCCCTCCAAGATCCCCTACAACACCTAGGAACCCCCCCCCCCCTCATCCCAAAGAACCTCCACTTCCACCAAAGCCCCCCTCCACCCCCTCTAATCTTACCAGCCCCCAGGAACCCTCAACAACACCCTACAACCCATTAAGAGCACCCTCACATTCCTCAGCACCCCCTCCTAAAACACCCAAGCCCTGAAAAACCTCGTATGACTTCCCATCCCCTACAACCCCCCCCCCCCCACCGAACCGTGAGAACTACACCACAGAACAGCTCCTGGAGCTGCCCGGCTCGGGGTCAGCAACTCCGCTCCCTGCGGCCAGGCTCGCATGACCCCCCCCCACCCCCCAACACGCGTCCCGTGGAGAATAAAGCCAAAAGTTCGATCCACTAAATGCAAGTTCAACCTAAATGACACACGCCTGAGTCCAATGGGCCACGATGGAGCTGTCGGTGGTCGGTCACCTCGTTTGTGAAATGTTTTATTGCTCCGGTCCGCGTTAGGGACCTCTCGGTGAGTCGAGGTTTATTAATAATAATAGAGGCTCTTATACTCTTAGGTTTTTTCGGTAAAGTCACGTAGGTAAAAATAAATAATAAAATTTATAGAAATAAAATTATAAATCACATTTTTTTTTACCTACGTGACTTTACCGAAAAAACCTAAGAGTATGAATCCTTGCAGTCACGAAAGCTTCAAATCTAGAATAGAGGCTCTTGTCTGAGAAGAAACACACACGTTCACTTTCTCTTGCGTGTCCGTTTCCGTTACTAAAGGGGTTGTTGTTGTTTCCCGTCTTCGTTTTCACGTTAACTGTTGCGTTGTTTGTTTACGCTACTGGGATCGTGTCGCAACGCGCGGCGCGTGAGAGGCCTTGTCTATAAACACGAGTTTATACTCACAAGGGGGTCACAGGAGTCGTGAACGAAGACGCGGCAAGGAAAACGCTGAGGAGCCACCACCACCCACCTCCTCCACCACCAACCCCCGCCCCGGTAGCCGCTGCAACGCAGCCACGGGGGTCACCACCACCACCGCCACCACCACGCAGCGCGCCGCTCGCTACGACCACGACCTCTGAACCCAACAGCCGCGCGCGTCACGTGACCCACGATGTGGGGGGGGGGGACCCTCGCCACGTGACAAACGGCCTGCCCGAGGTCACGTGACAGAAGCGGACGCCTGCCCGCGGTCACGTGGCACAGGGTGTCGTCGGGTGTTTGCGTCACGTGACCCGGGCCCGGCATACGTCGGTCCACGTGGTCAAGGCAGGTGACGTCACGCCCGCTGCAGACGCGCGGCCGCCGAGGTTGGGGGGGGGGGTCACGTGACTCGGGCTTTTTAAATAAATGGCCGGCTAGGCGAGCACGTGTGTGAGCGTGATCAGTAATGCCGTGCACGCATCGCCAAATCTTAGTGCTTCGATATGAAAACAATTAAGTACTAGATTTGAAGCTTTCGTGACTGCAAGGATTCATACTCTTACGGTTTTTCGGTAAAGTCACGTAGGTAAAAATATTTCTTTTTATTTTTACCTACATGACTTTACCGAAAAAAACCCGAGAGTACAATTAAGTAGAGCAGTGACTTTGTTTTGCTGCTTTGTCCAAGCTTGCATAGGCACCGTGGTGGAGAGTCCTTCGCCTGTTGTACAGGTCGTGGGCTCGATCCTGACGCCCGGTATATGCAGGGACTCCTACTTACGAACATTCGACTTACGATCTTTCAACGACGAACAAACCTGTCCGTATGTCCAGTTGCCTGTTTGGAAAAAGAGTCCTAAGTTCAACCGCCGTGCAATAGATGGTGGTGGCATCTACATCTGCAGAACATGAAGAACCAGTGGCATATACAGATTATAAAGTTATACAACTTTTAAAGCCATTCTCCGTGTTTAGTGTACATGCCATACATGTTTGACAAGAGTAAAGTTGGACCTACAAACAAACCTTCGTAACTAGGAGTCCCTGTATTTGAAGTTTGCATGCTCTCCCCGTGATCACGTGGATTTTTCTCCAAGTCCAGTTTTCCCTTCACATTTAGAAACATGTTTAGATTGGCCGATATAAATTTCCCAGTGATAAGCGACTTCGTTGAGCAATCATTTGTGGCCAAGTCGCTTCTAAAAAAGAGCAACATTTGCTCAGTGGGTTTTAACTGGTAAGTACAGTTTTTAGTTTTTTCACTGTTACAATCGGCAGGAATGTATGTACTTGTGCAAATTAAACTAAAACTTTATATTTATTTTTAATGCTTGTGTAGTGGGTTCACGGAGAGTAGAGACGGCTTGTCGAGGCAACACGTTTATTCCAATAGCAGTAACGATCCCGAACACAAAGGGGTAGCGGCCTCTCCACCCGATACCTGGGGAGGTATAGCCTCTGGGCTAGCGTGCCCCATCACTCGGGCTACGTGCTCTCAGCCCTCCGGCTAAGGGGTCCGAGGGGAGGCTAGCTGACCCGACCCAGCCAAGGTCCTCGGGTCCCGACCACTGGCCCACTCGGTCCCCGCCCTTAGAAGGACGTCGGGTACGGGGTTCCCAGGGTCCTAGCCTAAGCAGGTCTTCAGTCTTCAGCTTGACGATGACTGCCAAACCCGTCCAGGGGTCCGGCTTTTATACCCGTTCCCGGGTCTCTCCGATCCTAGCCACGCCTTCCTTCTGGAACTCTCCAGGGGGCTCTGGAATATTCCCCCAGCCCCTCTCTTGGGGTCTGGGGAGCCCTATTGGCCCAACGGCCCGACTCATCTTACCCATTCAATGTACCACCCCCTATTGACACACGTCCGCTACTACAGGTAAGGATGAATGGAAAACTACAGTGCCCAACCATGCAACTACACTTGCGTACATTTTCTCTATTGCACTCCTGTCGTTTGTATTGTTTGTTGTTACTCACTAATCCTCTATAGCCCCTACTGGACATCTGTGAAGAATAGCTTATCACATTACTCCAGTCAAAATAAAGATTCTGAATCCGAGTCCACTGCTGGATGAGGGCCTGATACGTTTAAGTGCAAGGACACCATGCGTGTATAGTGATTGTGCCAGGAACCTAGTCAACGGCTCGCATCTAATATCAACTTGTAACGCGCACCTAGATTCACTCACTCGTTCATTACATTTTGACATTGGTCAGTCTATTGTGTTAATCAAAGGTGCCCATTTGGCAAGGCCGAGTTCAGTGAGATATTTTGTTTAGCCAATGTCAAGCCAACAGATGACATCACATGACCGTTTAAAATAATGGGTGCACTCAAATCAATTTAAGAGATTGACTACTAAATTATAGCCATGGAGTAATCAACTTTAATTTAGGGTACTGCAGAGAAACAAAAAACATGAACCCTTGTCACCCCACAAAAACAAGCAACATGTTCTGCGAATGCTGTAACATGTGGACAGATGCACATGACAGGAATTACATATCCTGAAGACAATGAACCTTAAAAATAATTACCATTTTCACATTTGGGTTTAAAAAAAACATTAACCATTTTCCTATACACATCTATAAATATTACTAAAATATCTCAAGACATTTTAATTTTTTTGCAACAAATATACACACCCTTTTGTAGCGAGGCAAAAATGTTGGTCCATAAACAAGCTGCGATAAATGGCAATACAGTACGTACTACAAGTGTCACAAAGCAATATCGGTATTAAAATGCTACTACCAAAATGCATACACACATGCAAGCCAGGTGGCATACTTAATCAGTCTTAATCACATAGTTTTACAACGGTTAAGCCTTCAAGCTGAGTTGTTTTTCCCTCGACCACGTCGACGTTATTACAAGATATTAAAACAAAATCCCAACTCTCAGAGCATGACATGAACGCCTCTCCCAAAGCAGCAATGAAGCATTGGTGGTCGTTTACCAGTCTCTCACTACCCAATTTCATACATTTTAATCTGTGTGATTGTATTACCACCAATAAAACACATCAGTTAATCTCCAGAGAGCATGTGGTTCCAACTGTGGAATGCTTCCACAACGAGTGTCATCGGCAGATGCTAAGATGAAACTGCAGTTAGTGGAGACATTTCCACCAGGGTCAAGAAAACCACGGGTATCGTGGCGATGCCGAGACCGTATCCATACAGGGTGGCAGCTGCCACACAGCAAACCAACGTGGGGGGGGGGGGGGGGGGGTCGTTCTCCGTCTGGCCCAGGGGTAGGCAACCTGCTGCTTCGGAGCCAGATGCGGCTCTTTAAGGATTGCTTCCTGACGTTATTTATTCTGGACCGTCTTGTATCCACATGCATTGCAGCTCTTAAAATAGTGAGCTTTTTACCGAATTAGAAAACAAATGGCTCTTCTTGTTATTTTGGTTGGCCACCCCTGGGCTATCTCGACCAGGCCAACAACACCAACTGGTGTTCAAAGAGCAGACGATGCCTCACTCATCTGCTCCAGCGGAGTTTGTTAGAGGAACAGTGCACACCTGATAATTTAAGCACCAATACTGACAGTGCGTGGGACTATGCCTAAAATGATCGTTATTGATCGAATTTGTTATGATGGGCATGAAACGAATGAACTGGAGGGGGTGATCAATTGCACTTGTCAATGTGTCCAATGCTTATACAATTACAGTCCATCATGGCAGGTTTCTTGGTTAACTCTGCCCATGAATAGGAGGCGAATGCAGGAACAATCTGCAATCTGTTGTGACAAAATGGCTCCATTTGTGGATCATGGCGCATGCATCAGTACATAAAGGTCTATAAATACAGACAATATAAATAAGGATGCTTTTACATAATTACATTATTTGCTTGCAACTGCGTATGCCTTGGTGAATCGCTGAATAGCAACCTGTCAGCAACAAGCCCAAAATATTGCTCTGCCTCAGAGTTTTAGAGGCCATCACACAACTTGTACTTTTCAAGCCAACAACACTCAACCTTAAATATTGACTAGAATACATTACTATCGATAAACATGTGGAATTGGTGTTAAAAAAAACGTTTAAATGGACCAACTCATAGGTTTTCATTTTACCCCTGATTACATTTAAAGAATGCCACAAACACTTTCCCAGTCATCAAAGTTCAAATTCATCTCTCTTCACCATCTGAAATTGGACAAAATTGGAAGGCTAATTTGTGCCTCAAGCCCACCCATTGTAGTTTTATTAAACAAAGTCACATTAGCCGCACGAGCAACGTGCTTCATTCCGTAATTGATGCAGGTTGTCTTTCTTGGACACCGTGGCCATGTAACATCGTGGCCAATACTTAACTAAACTAAGTGGGAACCAGACATGCGAATACATTCGGGTGGAACAAATCAGTTTTACAAAATGTATATTATTCTTCAAAAAGGGTGTAACCCATGCAATAACCTGACCACAAGCTTGTTTACTGTAGCTATGACAACACCTGGTGTTGCCAAACCCAGCAGCGGCTTTAATCGCCTTGAGATGCAAATGTTTACAATGGCTGCAATTATGGAAATACACCAAATTTAGATATAATCGTCATTTAGAGCCCACTTGTAATGTAACGTTTTCCAAAAGATAACAGCAAGCTATATTATAATAACATGCTACAGGCCACAGACAAAACATATGCGGACATTAACCATGTACTGTGATTCAAAGATATGCTACAATTTGGCCAATTTTTCCACTTTGTCACTGTCAATGAAAACCGTACACACAAACTGCACCAAACAGTTTGTGTTTGAAGAAGCAGACATTTGGAAGGAAATGTATTCTTTTACGGATCTTAAACCCCAAGGAGTAAAACTGATGACAGGGCTTTGACTGATCACACCATGTGGATTTACCATCATAGAGACGTATGCGGAATAAACGTTTGGCAACATCAAAGGAGTGCTGTAAAAAATCATAACAAAAGTGCTCTCTGTGCATCCGTTGTTTTCTTTTTGTGAAGACCAACAAAACTTAGGTTTGCTTTACAAAAAATACCTGTCTGTGTTAAACACCGAGTTCTGTACACCAGTGAATTATCTGTCAATTAGTTAAAACCATAGCGCAGTTGATGGATTAGAGGGTAATGAATTTTTTAATGTTGCTTATATACAATATGGCTGCCCAGAGTGCCCCATCAATGTTTTCATAGAAAAGAGGCTTTAACAAATAAGTCAATGGATCAGTTTACAACGCATTGTGTTGTCTCAGATGCCAATATAAATATTTATAATTTGCAAACAAATAGAAATGCACATGGCGGCAATAACCACATAATTATTTTTCTCCCAAAAATTTCGGGCCTTTTCCCACCCTTTAATTGTTGACAACAAAACTTGGAAAAAGAGTACTTGTTCACTAATATTTTCTGCTGTAACGTTAAAGGGTTTTTACATATCTGAATGTAATAAAACATGAAACCACGTTGACATTTTTAAAAACGTCCAATTTCTGTGTGTAAAGCAATACATATGGACCTGTAGATTTACCTAAATTGTGAATCAACTGAAAATGTATTGCATTCATACTCTTGGGTCTATCAGTTAAGTCATGTAAATACATAACAATAGATCACAACGTTTCCATCGCAACACAAGCAATCGTAAAAATAATAGATCACGACATTTCGATCACTTGTTGCAATCGAAACGTCGTGATCTATTATTTTTTATTTACGCGACTTTACCGAAAGACCCAAGAGTTATGAATTCCTGCAGTCACGAAAGCTTTAAATCAAGATGTATTGCATTATCTCCCAAAAGTGCAGGAAGTTAGACTGCCACTTACATTGCAACCCTGTGTTGCATTCCCTTTGGAATTCAATTCAAATGTTGATTTGTGAGTCCCTGGCTAAGACTAGATGTTGCCAGACATGTGGTCTGTGCCTACTTTTTTACATTAAAAAAACGTTAGTTGGCCTTTCTTTTATATTGGTAAATAAGTTGTTTTTTTTGTGGCACATTACCCAACGTTAAACTACCAGCACATTTGTAAAAATATATGTGTACCATGGCGTTAAAGCCACATGCAATTATACATCTGCTAATATGTAAACATGGGATCTGCTTTTCAGACCTACAATAATGATCATAACCCAGTGGAACCTTTTGAGATCAACAGTTACCAGTTTTTACTTTTAAAAATATAACTTATATACTCTATTTAACCCATTCCGCTATTGAACCACAACGTTTCTTTGCAATTACAAACCCAAAAGACACCCCCAAAGTTTTAGATAAAACAAAAGTGTTAGAAAAAACTAGTAGATTATTTTAGTTTTCCCGTCTCAACAGTGTAATCGCCCTTTTTCGTCACCGTGTTTCAAAAGTCATTGTCGGCTGGAGCGTCAGGCCTGTTTGCATAACCTGGGTTACGATCCGCACCCATGGCCCCATCTTCGTCATCTGAAATTAAAACAGAAGGGGGCTCTCGGTACACGCCACATGTACACACGACATTTGCACGTCCTGGCCAGGAGCGTAATGCGCATAGTTCATTAAGAGTTTGCATGAACTGTCGATACATAAAACACCCTCCCACCCTCATACTGCAAGATCCAGCCACTGTATGGATACAACAGCAACAATGCATAAGAGTTGCAATTGTGATAACATCAAATGGCACCAATAACGCAACGGATATGCAACAGCTGATTAATTACAGCTCAGGGTATTCCGTTGGGGCAGATGCAAACAATTTGTATTTTTTCATGACAATCTAATAATAGGAACGATTCATCAGTTCATCATTAAAAATCCAATGCTACGATCGCAATAAATGCATCGAATTATGCATGCAAACATCGACAATGACTTACCATTAGTTAAACGTATACCTAAGTGTTACGTATAAACTACTGGATCAAATGAGACCGTATAAACATGACAGATGAGAATACTAATTATTTGATGAAGCTGCATTGGCAGTAGTGCATAAGCACGATTAACCAATAACTATCATAGAATACAAGTGAAACCAACAGCATTAAATTCAAAACAATTGATTCTTGAGTAGAATCGTCACCCCAGAATGTGACAGTTCATCAAATTGCGGGAAGCGAAGTGCACCGTTACATGCCCACAAGACAAACGTCTGATTTCGCATCTTCACTTGTGTAGCAAATACCATCGGAATGTCAGGGTAAGCAAATGGCAACGAAAGAGACGTTTAGTGCATGCATTATGGCGTTATGCAAGTTCAGCAACATGCAACTGTTGACACGTGGTGAATATTCAGTTAAAACTGTCAAGAGGGGTGGGGGGGTCTATTAGCCTGGGGATAAAAACAAAATCACAAACACAATGATGTTAATTGACTTTTTTTTGCAAAGGTACAACTCAAGCGGTATACTTATGGTAAGGAAACTGCGTGAACATAGCGATGGTTGTAAGAGCAGCTCATGCCATGAAAAGATTAGCAAGCCACATGATGCACCAAGCCACATGTACCTCAAGAGCAAAGCAAGAACGAGGGAAGAATTAAAGACACTCGGACAACTGACATTTCTCTATCCCAAATTATTTGTAGTAAAGAAAGAGACGTTATTGTGGATAGGTTGCCAATGGGGTACAGTTTCATGATATTCTATCTTTTAAATAAAAAAAAACGCCCCGAATGAAAATCCAGAGACCTTGTAGGGCTCTTCCTGGATCAATAATGCACGACTCCGTGGTCAATAATGATTTGGAATCTTATAATGCGTACATCGCATCATGGAAGATTACATATTTTTCAGTATGCATATGTTGCATGGGTTCAGGTTAGCCTTGCAACTGTTTGTGACTGCAATATTGACCACAATGTCAAAAATCAAGTTCGGGAAAAAAATCATACATAAGCATGGATTATGTTACGTTTTGCAACATGAGTTTGTCATTGGAAGTATTTAATCAACACTCTAGAAGCTGGAGGGCTAGCTGTCAGGCAAAATTCATTTTCATATTTGCAAACACTCCTCGTTGCTTTGTTTATGCAATACTTTCATCAATTTGTCTGGTTGTGAAAAAGGTAGTTAGCAAAACAACGTTATACCTACAAGTTCGTTAATGTTCGTTCATCTTTATGGAAGTTATTGAGTGCCTCCCTCCCCCGATACAGACAATGTCTTCATTATTGAAAATTATGTTTCGGTCCAGGTGAGTAAAGCGTGGGGGGTTTGCCCATTGACACCCGCATGTCAGCGTTGAAAGTGATTCGTGCGGTTAATTCGTACCCTTGGGTTTCCCTGCACGGGGCTGCCAACCCCGCTCACCTTGGTTGTCATCCTCCCCTCCGTCCCCGTCCTCCTCCTCATTGTAGGCCAGCTCAGCCTGCTTGTCTGCCTCGTACTCACCCACATTACCCCCGTCGCCCTCGTAGTCGGCTCTACTGGCCTGCGCTGGGTCTGCCTGACTAGGCCCCGACCGCGCAGGAGCCCCGGCCGCCCCAGCCACCGATTCGCGGGAGAGGCGGCCTGAGGTCGCCGGCCGGCCGGTCGGTCAGCCAGCCATGAAGGCGGTCACGCGGTTGGCGAAGAAGGGAAACAGAACGTAGGAAGCCACAAGGGACAGATGCATAGAGGGAGGCCAGAGAACCGGGGTAAAGCTTAACCCGCTCAGCCACCAAAACCACTTTCTGCGTAATTTCAGACCCAATCTACAGCACACATTCTAAAAATACGAGGATGCACAAGGAGATGAAAAGTAAATGCCATCAGTAAAATTTAAGCATGAGCACCTATAGCTTATTGTAGTAATAAACTCGGCTTTTTTTTTACAATGATGCTGTATCTGATGATACGAGACGACCATATCCCTTGAAATAAAATGATCAACTTTACAGATCACCACTTTCGGACGGAGCGCAGCTACATACCGGATTTTCCCGGCTTGCCAGGCTCGTGATCCTCGGCTTCATCGGCTTTCTCCACCTGTTCCAGACCTTGCTCAATCTTGTCCTCCTCCTTGGGGGGCACCATCATAACTACGGTTGTCTTCCCACCCTTTGGCGCAGGACCTGGATTCCCGATTACAACTTTTGGTGCTTTTTTGCTCTCGGTTACACGTGGAGGTTTATTCTGCTTGGGTGATGTTACTTTTACGACTTTGCCATCATTAACAGTGTCTTCCTTTTTCTTATCTGCAGGTGGAAAAAGCACCAGAAAGAAAGCAATGCTTATTTAACATCACAGCTAACCGCATAAATTGGCGCGCAAAGTTTGCCGTGTGGTGTTGCGGTTACCAGGTTCCTCAACAACGGCCTTCTGTTCATCATCATCGGGTTTCTTCTTGTTCTCTGTTTCTTCTACAATGTCTGGCATCCCTGCATCCCCTTCTTTCTTTTCCACTACCAAAATGTAAACAAATAAAATTCAGCACTTTATTTTAACTATAATAAACATTTTAAAAAGCATAAAACAATGGCGTTCCAAACAAAGTAAATTGAGCATACAGTGAAATGCAACAGTTGTCGGTGTCAACTGCATAGAATTCAAACACTCACGTTTTCCCTGCTCACCATCAGGTGACACATTTGCCTGCTCTGCTGGGATGTCGTTCGTCTCTAGTTTTTCAACCTTCACCTTTTCACCTACATTCTGCTCTGGCTTTGCAGCATTCACTTTTTCTTTCTCAGGTGCCTTCGGTGGCTGTTTGGAAAAACATAAAAGGCAGCTGGAGGTATTGAATATAATTTTGGAAAAGGAAATGTTACATATTATATAAACATCTACACATTTAGCATACTTTACAATAGTTAATTCGCCATAGTGAAATGGTCAATAGTAAAATGAACAGTTGGCTTTCCGTCCTGCCCCATTTAGATGTAGGAATACAAGACAACAACTGTGTTTATCATTTGTACAATGTCATCAAAAGGCCTGCGCTCACATACTGGTGAATGCATTATACAAGGAACCCCATCACAAACCAAAATTGACATGAATGCTCACCTAATCCCACCCTTCTCTTTCAACGGTATTTTAAAAAACGTGAAGGTGTAACCTTGCAATTTGCTTGCTCGTGCTACTGTTTCTGGAAGGGCATCCACGAGAGGTAACTCTTGAGTGCCCCTTTAGAGTTTTTGCTTGGCCCACTCTTCCAGGCTGACCAGACATGAGTTTGTTTGTCCTTCTCCCGCACCTACAATTAGCGTGGTTGAGTATGTATGGTGCGAAAGAAGTTCAACATACAGTAAAATCTTGGATTACAAGTAACTTGGTCTGCGAGTGTTTTGCAAGACGAGCAAATTTTTAAAATAAATATTAATTTGATAAACGAGCGAGGTTTTGCAATGAGCAGTACTTGTATACGCTTTGTCTGCCGAGCGTTACGTGATCACAACTGATATACAAGTGCTTTGATATACGAGTGCTTTGGATTACAAACACGTATCCGCAACGAATTATGCTCGCAATCCAAGGTTTTACTGTATTAATCTTGGAAGAGGTGGGAATACTACTGGACATCTGTGGAAAAAGAGCTTCATAACTCATCGGATTTCTCCAGGATAAATACATATTCTGATACCCACACTTTACCCCACCACACGCAACATACCAATCAATTCACTGTGGTGTGTGCTCATTTCATCCTGTGCAGTGGACATAGGCATATTAAAGCACCACGTGATATATTATACATGGTATACACTTTTGAATATCAATAACTTACAATATCTCTTTCTTTCTTTTCCACTGCTTCTGCCTTGAGTTTGCTGTTTTCTTTCTTGAGAGCTTCCAGTTTTTCTTCATACTGATCTTTCAGGGAAGTCAGCTGCTGGTTACACTGAAAGCTGCACATGACAAACGCAAGTTTACTTCAAAACAGCACATTCAACACATTAAATGTGCATGAAACAAAACACTAGGTGGAGATCATTCGTGCTCGTTTCCTCCCATGTGTACAAACTCTAATTGCCTGAAAACATCTTAATATATAGAGGACTTTAGAGCAATCTATGGCATCGGCTCACCACCTGGCAGCCTTCCAGCTTGCCTGTGGTTTCCCAGCGATTGTGAGATGCAATTTCCACAAACGACGTCATATAAAACAAATAATTACATTCCATTTTTTTTGTTTCTGAAAAAGTCCTGATATTCAGTGAGGCTTTCATAGAAAAGTAAATAACGTTATTACAGTAAGACATGAAAAATTACCAGTAAGTGCAAAAGCAAAAGCCATCATTTAACATTTGTCAAACATGCCACCATCTTATTCTTTGGGTCTTTCAGTAAAGCCACGTAGATAGATCAAATAATAAAAAATAATAACAATATCACGACGTATTCTCAGCAGCTCTCCCACGATTGAAACGTCGTGATATTGTTATTGTTTTTATTATTACCGAAAGACCCAAAGAATATGAATTACTGCAGTCACGAAAGCTTTTAAGTCATGATGCCACCATCTATGCTAATGGTTCACTGGCTATAAATTCGAAGCATTTTCCTCAATCATATGAGTTTTTTCTAAATGTAGCCAACACTCTGCAAAGTAAAACCTCAACATTCCAAAGCAAGTTCTTTTTTTCAGACGTCACGTTGTCAGTGTTGTTTGTATGATGATCTTCTGTGCCGACTGTGCTGCCTTTTAACTAAATGCAGACATGCACTGTTAACAAATTAAAAAAAGTAAATTTTCTAAATTTCAGCCATCACTCAGGCTTAACTACACACTTAGTAAAGAGGGCAAGTTCCATTAAAACCTTCATCCTATGGACATTACCAAAGCATACCCTTTAAACTGTATGAGAAAGCACTTGGCGTACATTCCTAACATACCTGTTATATTCCAGTCTTTGCTGGAGTGAAGAGGAGTTCCGTTTGTATGCATCCATTTCTCCCTGTAATCTGATGTACTCTCTCTGCAGCTCAACAAATTCGCCTGCAACAGACCAAGAGGAAGATTTTAATCTTCCTTTTTTGTTTATAACAAGCGTGCTATCAAGACCACATCACAAGATGAAGAATATTTAATTTGTAACTGCTGCTATAAGTGGATTTAAAACTAAATTCTTTAGAACTTATTTTTTTTCATTTGTTGTCCTTCCCCCAAACCTCCAATTAATTTGGTTGGTGCGAAAGAAGTTCAACATACACTCTATGTCTGAGATTTGGAATATGTCACAACTAACTTTTGAAGTGACATTAAGCGGCCTGTTTATAAAAGCCTTGTTAATGCCTTACATATTTTTCACACAGAATTTCAGCTGAAAATGGAAGTCTTAACAGCTGTAACAAGCCGAATTGAGTGAAAAAACTACTTGTTTTTAATGCAGTCATCAGTCACAGAACCTGGTTTAATCATGGTTGGCTACTCAGATTCTCAACCACTCCAATGCCATATCCACATGCATGTTATGAGTTAATCATGATCATCTCGCATGCATGCGCTCAGTACCCCAATATTAATGATATGACAATTTTCTACATGAGTTATGAAAAATAATACTATATTACAATAGCCTATTGCAAAATATCAAATTCGAAAGCGCGTGTGTATAACACGTCAAACAAGTACATTGTGAATACTGGACGGACAAGGATAACCTGTTTTATGGAATGCAGTTGTATAGGACATGTAAGCTTGCATAACATTTTAAAGAAATTCAACAATAACCTGCTATTTTTGCATACCATATTTGGACAATCTATAGTCTATGCGTTATATTATTATACACGATATACTGTACACCCAAATAATGTAATGTGATGCATATTTATTTGTGTACATTGTGGACAAGTTCTCACCTTGAATTTTTTTAAATGAAACTTGCGTGTCAGAAATGTTCCTTGCCATTAGACTCTGAAAGAATTGTACACACGTGCATCATACAAAGTTAATACGACTCCAAATGATTCGATTTGCAGTTTCATATTAAACGTGACTTCTGGAGATGTCACAATGCACCGATTCATAAATCAAATATTTTTATGCTCACGACACTTGCATTTAATTGCGTCCGAGACGTGACGTTTTTCAATTTGTCTATGCCATATGTAAGTAATTGGTTCTTGTGAACCTCACCAGTCACCAGAGGCTGCTATATTTACCAGTCTAACAAAATATATATTCTATTTAATTAAATCACGACTTTGGATTGTGAAGATTAATAAAATCGCCAGGAAGGTGGATCGTTCCATCTCCAATAACCACATATTTACAAATGTTCCACTTAAATCGCATTACATCATCAGGGTGATGTGATTTAAAGTATATACACTCTGCCTCACTGACGTTCTAACCTATGCACCAAATCATGCCAAGCGACTGTTTAATACCATTACCACAGATGCTCATATTACAGCTCTTTAAACATTACTGGCTTTCGTATGTAGTGCACAGATCTACCCTGCACAAGGCCAAAGTAGTTCTTTTGTACGTGGCATTATTGTATTTGTTTAGGATTTGTTTTGCCATTTACAAAGCCATGCAATAAAAAGAGCCACAGGTGATTACGTCATTTGCAAGAAAGTACTGTGTAGATTGTAACAGGTTATACGATATTACGTACACTTACCATGTTTAATTAGAAGCTATGTTTGATGGACTTTGTAAAATCTCTTCGATGGGGGTCAAACTTTAGTATGAAAAAAACAAGTGTTTTAAGCAGGAGTAATATCACTTTTAGTTCACGTCAGAGCTAGCCTTCAACACCACAACCAGAAAATGCCTCTGGGCTTGTATGTACGGAGAACTTATTTCGCCCCATACGTAGCCAACTGTGCTAAACGGAGGTGTGAAGGATGCTTTGAATTTACGAACATATTGTAAATTGTGCAAAGGAATGTGGTGTATATGTAATCACGGAGAGTAGTTTGTGACTGGTTGGGATGTGTGCATGTAGGATGGAGGATTTTACTTCCAAGACTGGCATTTAAGTGGCACCTGGTGGTTGACAACCAAAAAGGGAAGCCCTAAAGCAAGATGGTGATGCAACAAAGATGGTGATGCAACACAACTGATGCTTTTGCAATGTTGTTGACCTTTTAAAGAGGGAACAGTATTTGGCAATACTGCATTGGCTTTGGGGCACGCGCACATCTACATGCTATGAAGGGCTATCACCCGAAACGTCGCCTATTATACACGTACCTTTTAAGGCAGTGTAATTGACCAAAGAGAGAACAAAGGTCGATGGCAACTTTGCACTTACAGAGGGACCTTTAAGGGCATAGATTTACATGATCTGAACCAACCGGATCTGGCAAGCTTGGTAACCTGAAATACATCGCCAGAAACCAGATGAAACCAGAACCACTGAATTGTGCAAGTAATTTGCGCGTGGCAGAAAATATTAAAAACCATTTACCCAACAATGCCATCATAGGACATGAATATTTTTCAGTGTTAACGTGGGTGAAATTTGCGATGAGGCGATGCAGTGCAGTATATAATATTGCTTTTGAAAGCAAAACAAAATACTCTTTAAATGCTTAGGTATTTTTTTTACAGAATTGTAACGATATGATGATTTAACACTCACTGTATATCATGGGGTCAATGCAAGTTCATATTCGTGTGGAGTTCTGATGTTAATTGCTGTGCCATTCACAAACTGGTCCTGGTTCATCCAGAGATATTTCATGTTTGACAGTAATTGTTTTCATGTTTGCAAAAAGGGGCCCACAGTTGAGATAATTCTACCACCTTTCTAAACGTCTGCGTAAATTTTGGCATTGCCGGGGCAGCGAAGCTGATGGAGACTCGTGTACATTTGCGCAGGCAGACAAGCGTGATTCTGTTTTATAACTTCACACCTGAAGATAATATCTATACTCAGACACGTGGACGTAAAATTAATGTTGCACTGAAAACGGCCATGGTTAATGACCTCACAGTGTTGGTTGCGTGAATCATTGTAGTTATTTCACACTGAGAGGAGGGCCATGCACTGGACATCTGGGAAAAATAGCTTCGTAGCTCATCGTATTCCACGAGTCTAAATAAAGATTCTGATATTTGGTGAAAATGCTGTTCATTTTCATCAGCTTGTTCTGTGGTGGTGGCTGCATCTACGATCATGCGGTCCCGAATGAGCTTGAAGAACCTGACTGGCTGGCGACCCAGCTCCTATCACCAAGGCAATGTTCGTGATTGCGTGGGCGTGAAACGCGAGTTCAGCAAGGGACTGTCTTCTCTACAAGCAGAGACAACACTTGGAACTCTTGTTGAGAAACAGCACTCCCGGGTTAACGGCACCACGTGCCCATCTGCGTTTCACGAGACTTTCTTAAGAAGTGGTTTGCTTTGATGTTAACATTATTTTGAAAACCGCCATCTCCTTCGGTGTCCAACCTGTCACCAATAAAAAGGAATAAGCTACTCTACCTCACTACAGATTCTCAAAGTGAATTCCATTCCATTGTATGTGACAAGATTACAATGTGGCAAATTAAGTTAGTACACAATTAATCGAAGACTTAAATCAATTGCGATGTACAAAAACCATCACCAAAAATCTAATTTTGAAACTAAAATGCCACATCACATTCAACATTTACGGTCAACTGCTTTGGAAAACTGCATACTTTCAATGCCTATGCAGTTGTATGTAACTGCATTTATTCATTGCTGAAACGGATTTTTAAGCCCACAATTACATCGACTAGTGAAAGCGATGATTATGGTTTATGCAAAATAAATGCAAATTGAGGATAATCAAAGCAGCAGCCAACAGGAGGGAATGTGCCTGAGAGTACGTCCACCACTGAGAAGGAACGATGAAATCAGCTAATGTACAATGCAAGGCGGATTGTTACTTCGAAGGACCGTGAGAGATGGCAACGCTTGTGGAGGCCTTTTTTGCAGCAGTGATATCCTGTTACAGTATGTTTAGGCAAATGGAGTGAATACTATTGTACACGAAACAAAGCAATTGAACAAATACGTACAAATATGTTCAAAACAACAAAGATATCCTGTTACAGTATATTTAGTCAAATGGAGTGAATACTATTGTACACGAGACAAAGCAATTGAACAAACAATACGTACAAATATGTTCAAAACAACAAAGAATATATTCCTGAAGAGAACCATGGCACCTAACCGTGACAATTTACTCAACCAATTGGGGTGGATGGCGAGGGAATCGATATACAGGTTTTTATCGAACACGAGTTTTGGCTATACAGGGGTTAGTTAATGAGGTCTGTTTTCCGGCACACGGGGGTCATGTTTCGACTATATGCAGTTTGACGTTGCTAAGATAGTCGTGAGATCGGTTTACGAGAGGTGAGTGCGGCATCTGTTGGAAGGTACTATGGTGTTAATGAATCGACTGAGAGTGATTTATATACCATGTATGTTTTTGTGTGATCATCTAACACTCAACATGGTTAGCTATGTACGGTGCGAAAGAAGTTCAACACACACACCACGCTCACACACAACGCAAATATCCACACATTGACGCATGCATCTTGAGTCCACTCGTTGAGGACATGGTGACTCATCAAAGTTCAAGCGACAGGGGTGGAAACGAGTGCTGCAGTGCGGGAAGTCATGGAGATGTGGATTTTGTGTTGAGGTGAAATTGAAAGTGCACACACACACGAGAAATGGTGAGCGACTCGGCATCCTTTATAACAATTAAGGATGTGGTGTTGTGCAGGGTAGCTTGAGTTATCATATTAGGACAGGAAACACCAAATTACATTATACGACCGCGTAGGTTTATGCGGTGGCACTGTATAACCCTCCAATGTTTTTTGGGTTGTACCGCGAGTTTTTTGGCATGATGTCTGATGTTTCGCTCCAGATGCTGGACGATTTTTCAGGAACTGAATAAATTCATTTCAATCAATCAATTCAGTGTCTTGAAGAAGCTCCCAGCAGGCGAAGTGAAACATCAAACACCACTGATATCAACGCAGCCACAGTCATCTGCCTCACCTTCTCTCCCATGCACTGGTGGAGTTCTCGCTCTTTGTCCCTGAGCAGGCTGCCGGCTTGCATGAGTTCGTCCTTCTTGCTCTGCACCTCCACGCGGTGGTTCTCCACCTGGCCCGAGAGCTCGGCCGTGCGTTTCTCCACACGCACCTTGGCCGCCTCGAGCCGGTGCTTCTCCATGCCCAACTGTTCCAGCTCCTCGGTCAGGTGGTTGTTGCGGCCAGACACGATCCAGTAGTTGAAGGCCAGCACGGTGGACACCACCAGCAGGGCGGCCAGGACCAGAGGGGGCGCGCGGCCCCCACGTCGCGTCCCGCCGAAGCCCATCATTGTTGTACTGTCAGGCTGTAAACACCTTCTTGCAGAACTTTAACGCTGCACACACAATACAATACAACACAATGCAATTTGGGTTTAAACAGTGTGTAAATGCCATTGCAGGGTAATGCACCACAGAAAATAGTGGGCATATTTATTTAATATTGAGAGCCAGTTAGACGTAAGCACAGGAAAAATATGGTATAAAGCCTGGTCTTGAACAGGGGTAGAGGAGTCAACAGTGCAGATATCTGGGGGAAGGGAATTCCAAACTATGGAGAAAGCAGATGTGACGGCATGGTATATCACGGAGTGATGGTTAACTTGGAACTTAGAATGCCTTAGATGCTGGAGCAGTTTTTGTAGATGAGTAATTTAAGAGATAGACAGGAACGGGTCTATGATCTTGACATGCACCAATCTTTGCAGAACAAATATATAACAATGTGTCACTTGTGTTAAGAGGGGCCTGTTGCAGTGACTTCAGAAGCAATTATGTGATGAATTCTTCCAAGGATGCTTTCTGACACAATGCACTTACAGCTGCAAGAATTCGGAATGGAAAAAAAAAACTAAAATTAGTTACTTCAGTGAACTTATACAATGATTTACTGGAATTTTTGTAAAAGGCCAGTTGGCTTAAAATACTGTGCCTTTACTTTCCTCTCCGTGACAGTTAAAAAAAATCCTGTAATTTCAATTAACCAATCATTTATTACCATTATTTTTGCATAACTACAAGATTGCGAATTGCAACTTAACTCTATATACAAGGAATTATTAACGAAGGACATGATAATTAATTACATCAATCTGTGCCTGCAGCTGTATTATTTGTGCATATCTAAATGATCTCATTGGCAAATATACCTAATAATGTTTATTGGTCACAAGTGCAGTACAGAAAAAAACACATTCCTTATTATAATGGATATTAACCTTTTTACCATTGCAATCTAATGTACAATATTGAGTTTCAATGCAAATTCTTCATTGCAAAGGTAGGTTTCATATATTTAGGTTGGGCCCACTTTTGCAATGTTTAGACTATCCAAAAAGGCTTCTTACTTCTTTGGTGAATGGATAAGCAACGCCGATCTGACGATGCTGACGATATATAACGCACTTTGCATGATGCTTGCTTTATTTTAACAATTCCAACTGCACAAACACCAGATTTGCATCTTGACAAATAGCCTAAACATTCACCTTACAGCTTTGCCCCATTACATCGGACGGAGATAAACGGCTTAGTTTCAGGCAAAGGAGTCGGGACCAAAATGGGACATTCGCCGACAGCTAACTCTGTCAAGACATGAACAAGTTACCACGAGACTTCCAAACAAAAACACGATTCACAATTGATTCATTTTGGTTTGACCACGTAATCAAAAGTTAATTACGAATCATATTAGCCGCGGAAACCTACGTTTTTATTTACAATAAACAAAATGTGCCTGCTGCAGATAGAAAGGTGGTGATAATGCGGGTTGTGGTAGTGATAGAGGTAGGAGAGTTAATGGTAACAGCAGTGGTGGTGATTATGGTAGTGATAGTGATAACGATCGTAGTAGTAGCGACGGTAACTTTGTTTTATCGTGGTGGCAATCGTGATGACAGTGACGGTAAAAAGGCGTACAACACAACCAGTGTACAACCTTGAGCATTACCCATTGTCATTCAAATAAACCCAAGGGGAAATAACCAAATGTGTACGTATTACAACACACAGCATTGTAATGCTATTCCCCCAATGGGCCATAGGGACATTGCCAACGTGTCACATCTCATATCCTTGTGGCTTGTGTACACAAACCCCCTTTCAAGGACCCCATTGATTTACATTATTTGTTACATTCAGTACAAAAAAATAAGTGCCGTAAAAACACCCCCCAAAAAAACTATTAACTTAATCGTCTTCAACACCAAAGCAAAAAAAAATACTCCACACCGACTAGGCCGTAGGCTGCGTACCGCTGTGGGACTAGTTCCGTAGCCGGGTTTGGGAGCGCCCGGCGGGCACAGACCCCGACCAGGCCGGCCTCGACCCCTCTACGGTCCCTGCTGTCGAAATAACCGAGCCCGTTGATAGTACTTGTTTTTCAGAACTGTCCCGTGTGAAAGCGACAAGGCATTTTTTCCTTATCGTGGAGGATATTTATATCGCTTTATAACCGTGTTAAATGCTGTCGAAGATATCTCTCACCTTCGCTCGCTCGCTCGCTGACAGACGAAGATGGAGACACTTGAGTTGATACACCAGCTTCTCCCTGCTGCTGTTGTTGTTGTCGTTGTTGTTGATGTCGGGAGTGTTGCTGCTGCTGCTGCTGTTGTTGTTGGTGGTGAAAATTGATGGTGGTGGACCAGCTTCTGTAATGGAACCATAAACAATAGCGGAGGCGGAAGATGAAGCGGCTTGGCTCAGGGCTCCCCCAGTGGGCGCCTCGCCTCTCTCCGCCCTCTGTTGGCTTAGGCCCGGCCCTTGCTGTAGCCTCCTCCTCCTCCCTCGCTCACTCGCCCTCGTTCCCCCGTACATTCGTGTTCACCTACTAACCTCGGGCTTCGGCACGAGTTCGAAGAAGGAGAGAAAATATTTAGGTTTGAGCCTTTGACCAAAATATTCCCGGAGGCGCCATCGCACGCGCGGAGAGCGACTTCTGCACAAACTTAGCGGCAGGTTTAGAGCAAAAGACAAACGCATTCTGAATTAAATAAACATTATAGGCGATGGTATCAATCGCGTCTATTGAGGTCGTTTTCCTACCCCCACCCCCCCCCAAAGTTATTCTGTAACAATGCAGTTTTGACTGTACATTGTGTTGTCAACATGACGCTCACATTGCATCTCTATGGGAAGTAGGATCCGATTTGCCATGGGGGTTCCGCTAACTCGTTGTGTCGTAAAAACAGGAGACCGCCTGTTCAAGTTCAAGTTCATTTATTAGGTAGAGCCCTGTGAGCCATTCGGCTCTTGAATCGGGTGCAACCGCAACAAACAAAAAACATGAACAAGAAAACATCTTAAAGTGACTATGTGCAAACAGAAAATCCAAGAAAAGACAGCAAAATATTGCAGAAAGAGCACCGCACACCAACGCTGTGTTCAAAAATCCCAGTGGAATGCAAGTCAAACAACAACCACAAGACAACTTAGATTAAGGCCATCAGTCTTACTCCGTACTACAACAAACAAACATGGCCAAACCAACAAACTTTTCGAAAATCACCAAAATAAAGCCATAAAAGCAATGAAACAGTGGTCATAGGAACTGTGACCGAATTTTCACAATAAATGACGTAAACAACATGTACCACCAAACTCTGCAGCCATAGCTGGCTGTGCTGCCCTTTGGAGTGTAAATAACCGAATAAAGTCAATTCAGTATAAGTATAACCCGTAAAAACAAAGTTTTCACTCTAAATCCTTTATATGCGTGGCGGCTAGAGTCCTCTCGTCCTCTGGCTTGAGATGGCTGCCACCTATGGGTCAGATGATTGTCTGCAGTATTAAACAATTGGTAATTAAATATTTAATTTGTTTTGCCTAAAAAGTGTAACATTTTTGAATTTTTTTTTTCACGAACATTAATTGTCTGTCACAACGAGTCTGTGTGGAAAATGTCAGCTCGATTGGATCACGGGAAGTCGGTTAAAAAACGACCGAAAGATTTGCACGGTCGTAAGCAAGCAAGCACGCAAGCAAGCACGCAAGCAAGCGAACTTAATATAAAGGATTTCGATTTAAAGCTTTCGTGACTGCAGGGATTCATCTTCTTGTTTCTTTCGGTAAAGTCACGTAGAAGGGAAGTAATAAAATAATAAAAATAAAACATAATAAAACAATTCTCACGACGTTTCGGCTACAACGCAAGCAGCCGTCTTCAGGTGAAGAATGAGACACTACCAAACTAGGAGCTTATATATAAGCTGCATTGGGGGTTGAAGAGCGCCTTAACAAAAAGAATGTGCATGTGAAGAGGGATTTAGCATATTCATGGAAAATGCGTAGGCGTTGGGCGGGGGGGTGTCAAAGTCATATTATGCCCATGCATTATGCAGGATCAGCAGCAACCAAGGGGGGTGCAGGGATTAGCAGTAACAAAGGAAAGGAATGTTAATGATATGTAGCTGCAGTTACTCAACAACACGTAGAAAACTAAAGTATAAACTACATAAAAAACTAAAGTATAAACTGCATCGCACCATCAGTATACTTACTATACTCTATAATAAGCTGAGTTACTAACAGCAAGTAATACATTACAATTTTACCTCGTAAAAATTCTATAATATGCTTCCATCTAAACCTTATTCTCTTACATCACACGAGCATATACCGTACTATATACTGCCATAGATAAACCCAACATTAAATTATATACTGTATTGCTGTAAACCAACCTATATCTTATACATTTAATATCACACTATGTATTATTCTACACACCCTAATGTGTATCGAAATGGTTTATTACGTCCTTCCAATGATTGCTGAGCCAGAATCCATCTTCTCGGTTAAAGTTGTCTCTGTGTTTGTATATGTGGATCGCCTCATGAACGAATCTCTCATGATAGCCAGATGGCTTGCAGAGAACCTCTGTCTTGGAGAAGTCAATATCATGTGAGCCCACTGAGTTGTAACAGTGATCTGCCACGGCTGAGGTGTTAGTCCTACCGTGTTTCAGGTCAGCTTTATGTTCACGGATGCGGTCCGAGACATGTCGTTTGGTTTCCCCAATGTAACTGCTACCACAGAGGCAACTTAGTTTGTAGACGCCAGGGTACTGTATGTCTGGAACCACATCTTTTACAGACGGTACCAGATCACGGATTTTATGTACTGTGTTGAATCGGACCTGGATCTTGTGTTTAATCAGGATTTTGGAGATCTTTTTTGTGACCCCAGCAATGTAGGGTAAGGTGATGGTCTTGAAAGGCTCCTCAACAGGATCCTTCTTGATGGTTGGAGTGATGGCTTTGCGGATTGTATAGTCGGAGTAACCATTTGCCTTAAGAGCTTGGCGTACGTGTTTGAGTTCACTGGAAATGTGTTCATGGTCGGAGATGCATTGGGCTCTATGATATAGAGTCTTGATGAGGGAATTCTTCTGAGATGGATGGTGGTGGGAATCCGGTTTTAGATAAGCATCCGTGTGGGTGGCTTTCCTGTAGACAGAGTGGCTCATTGAACCATCAGGTCTCCTTTTGATTAGGACATCCAAAAAGGGTAGCTTGCCATCATTTTCGACTTCCATGGTGAATCTGATGGCTGGGTGTATGGAATTGATGTGGTCGAGAAATTGGTCTAGAGCAGGCCGGCCATGTGGCCAGATGACAAAAGTGTCGTCTACGTACCTCTTCCATAAGGTCGGGCGTAGAGTGGCAGTCTGGATGGCGTCCGTCTCAAATTTCTCCATGAAGATGTTGGCTACAACCGGAGATAGGGGGGAGCCCATTGGGGTGCCCTCAATTTGCTTGTAGAAGGTTCCATTCCAGGTGAAGTATGTATTGGTTAAGCAGTGTCTCACCAGGGGGGGTACCCCAGCATTCAGTCCTTGATGAACCAAGTCTTCAATGATTGCGATGGTGTCAGGCACAGGTACCTTGGTGAACAAGGAAACCACATCAAAACTGACAAGCAGGTCGTCTGGGGACAGGGCAATCCCCTTGATTGTCGATACCAGGTCAGTAGAGTTTAGTACTGCAGAGGTGGTTTTTCCAGTGAAAGGCCGTAGGATTTCGGACAAAAAACGAGCCAGTTTGTAAGTGGGGGAGTTGATAGTAGAGACAATGGGACGAAGAGGTGTATCTTCTTTATGTATCTTTGGCAAGCCGTACAATCTTGGTGGTCTGGCTGCAGAAGGTTTCAACGAGAACTGTTTGGTCTGATCAATTAATGCGGTTGAAGCAGAAATGATGTTGTTGGTTTTGGAGACGAGGCTGTTGGTGGGGTCTCTTTTTATTTTGTATAGCTGCCATCGTTTAGTAGTTCTTGAATTTTGTTGTTGTATTCTATTTTGTCCATGATGACAGTGGCATTGCCTTTGTCGGCTGAGAGGATGACAATGTCATCCCTCTTTTTTAATTGAGCTAATTCAAAACGCTCCTCTTTGCTGATGTTGCTAGCTGGCATCTTAGCGTTTTTGAGGGTTACAGAGATTTCGGATCTTGCTACGTCTGCAGCGATGTGACTCAAGCCCTTGAGAGCTACATCTACTCGAGCAATTATATCATTAACTGGTATGTGTCTAGGTGTGACTGCAAAGTTTAGTCCTTTAGCTAAAACGGATTTCAAACCTTCAGAAATAGGACTGTTACTGCGATTAATTACGACTTTGTTAATATCTAGCTTTTCAATGTGTGGGTCCGGTTTCTTGTTTGAGAGGCGATTGAATTTGGAAATCAAGTTGTCCTTACATTTAGTCGACATAGCGGCAGCTGAAGAGGCAGTCATTTTTTCCACATGTTCCCAATCCGATGTGGACATTGTTACACGATTCAACACAGTACATAAAATCCGTGATCTGGTACCGTCTGTAAAAGATGTGGTTCCAGACATACAGTACCCTGGCGTCTACAAACTAAGTTGCCTCTGTGGTAGCAGTTACATTGGGGAAACCAAACGACATGTCTCGGACCGCATCCGTGAACATAAAGCTGACCTGAAACACGGTAGGACTAACACCTCAGCCGTGGCAGATCACTGTTACAACTCAGTGGGCTCACATGATATTGACTTCTCCAAGACAGAGGTTCTCTGCAAGCCATCTGGCTATCATGAGAGATTCGTTCATGAGGCGATCCACATATACAAACACAGAGACAACTTTAACCGAGAAGATGGATTCTGGCTCAGCAATCATTGGAAGGACGTAATAAACCATTTCGATACACATTAGGGTGTGTAGAATAATACATAGTGTGATATTAAATGTATAAGATATAGGTTGGTTTACAGCAATACAGTATATAATTTAATGTTGGGTTTATCTATGGCAGTATATAGTACGGTATATGCTCGTGTGATGTAAGAGAATAAGGTTTAGATGGAAGCATATTATAGAATTTTTACGAGGTAAAATTGTAATGTATTACTTGCTGTTAGTAACTCAGCTTATTATAGAGTATAGTAAGTATACTGATGGTGCGATGCAGTTTATACTTTAGTTTTTTATGTAGTTTATACTTTAGTTTTCTACGTGTTGTTGAGTAACTGCAGCTACATATCATTAACATTCCTTTCCTTTGTTACTGCTAATCCCTGCACCCCCCTTGGTTGCTGCTGATCCTGCATAATGCATGGGCATAATATGACTTTGACACCCCCCCGCCCAACGCCTACGCATTTTCCATGAATATGCTAAATCCCTCTTCACATGCACATTCTTTTTGTTAAGGCGCTCTTCAACCCCCAATGCAGCTTATATATAAGCTCCTAGTTTGGTAGTGTCTCATTCTTCACCTGAAGACGGCTGCTTGCGTTGTAGCCGAAACGTCGTGAGAATTGTTTTATTATGTTTTATTTTTATTATTTTATTACTTCCCTTCTACGTGACTTTACCGAAAGAAACAAGAAGATGAATCCCTGCAGTCACGAAAGCTTTAAATCGAAATTTAACCGCCTCTACGGGGAGGGTTTCCACATAACTTTGAGATCCTTCAACAAGCTCCGGGATA